ATCATTAATGCTAATATTACGATCATTATATATATATATATATATATATATATATATATCATTTCACCCTAAGAAATGCAATAAAGTCACTAAGACACAAGGAGTTATTGAGTGTGAGATTATATAAGGAAAAAATATATTATTGTTGTAACATACCTACAGATGATAATGGGTATGTCCCCATTCACATAAATACAGTAGTAAATACTTTATGTTGATCTGCAGTTGGAGATTCATTGTGGAATTCACTTGACTCACTTCTAGCAATTGACTACTTCTTCTACGTGCCACTGGTGAATCTTATATGTGTTGTTCTTGTCCTAAGTATTATCGTTCATTACCAACCTTCGTTTGATTATTCTATTCAGTAACCTTCCCTAGGTTACAACATTTTGGCGACAAAGATTAGTCAAAATTACAACATTTATTAAGGAGAGAGAACAATAAAAGAACAGAAATTAAGACAGATGATAATGATTGACATTGCATTTAAATTTAAATGAAAAGCAAAGTTGACTGGAAAACAGGAAGTCAGAAGAGACTTCCATAAATATGAAGTGCAGGGGAAGAAACTTTTAGCATAGAACTTACATGTAACAATTTCAACTGTAAAATGATGAGATGTAACCACGAATCTAGTACTGTGTTTAAATTCATAAAGTCTAGATACCATAAAGGAAAGTTTATGAGAGCAATTATGAAAGAAATATTTTCAGAAAAGACAAAGGGAAACTACATTATAGCAGTGAGAAAATGACTGAAGCCAAGATGCCAGGTCAGGACCAACGATATTGCAAATTCTTCTTTCTATTTTATCAAGAATTTCTAAATATATAGCAGGATTACCAGCCCAAATTTGGCAACAATAGTCAATGCACGGATGAATGATAGACTTAGAAATGTGTAAGATAGATTATGGTGAAGAAAATTGTTGAGCCCAACAAAGTGAGCCAACTTTCCTAGCAGCAGACCTAGCAATTGATTCAATATAATCTTTGTTTTGGTAATTTACCCATACATGCATGGACTCTCCCAGCTATAAATAGGAGCAGGTACTGCCTTTTGGAGAGGGAAGTTTCCAGCAGTCGGCTATGACAGTCGGACCAAACATTCTTGCTGTAACACTCATTTGTATATGTTTGTATTACTGTTTCTGTTAATATATTTGTTTAACACAATTCCTCTGTTTCTGTCTTTATTTCTGGCCTTAACAAGGCCACAACAATTTTTCTGGTTCATGTTACCAGAAAGCATATTTTATCATCAATATAGGATGTGTGAATAGTGTAATGCATATCAGCACTGAAAACTGAATCAACAAACCCAATTTATATGTCAGTCGAATCTGCTACAATCATGATCATGAGTCCCATCACCCATTAGTGTTCTAGGGACACAGCATGTATTGCAGGCAGGTTTGAATTCAGAGTTTTTCTCTTCCTAAACTAGTTGCCAAGTCTTCTGTGCTATTTAACGTATAGCTGGGGAAGAAAAGAGATTGAGACATATAAGAGAAAGTTATCTTTCCCAAAGGTATTTGTGCCTAAGTGAATGTAATGAACCTGAATGGAATTCAAACTCATCTCCCTGATTTCTTGTTATGAGTTGCAATCCATTACTCCACCACACATCAACTGTTGCATTCACTTTCACACAAATGCTCTTGGGAAAGACATGAATCCATCTTTTCTCCCAACAGCTTTGGATTAAACAGCAGGCAGACTAGGATCTTTGCTTTGGATATCAACCATTCTCAGAAAAGGAAAATCCTGAAATTCTAAATTGTAGAAAAAGCAATTCCAATAAGTTTCTCTGAGAAGTCCTGGCAATTCATAGTTATTAAGAAAATAATTGTGGAGAGTCATGGTTGGCTATGTTCTGATAGGGCATGCCATTTTTTAATCATCAATATCATCTGAATTATCAAAACTTTTTCTATTAACATTCTCTTTATTAACCGAGTGATTTTTATTATTACTTTTGCTTATGTTAACATTATAATTTTATTTACATTCATTATCTTCATCATAATTATCACCATTTTAATAACATTATAATCATTCTAATTATTTTCTTATTGCAGCAGCTTATGTCTCCTTGGAAACGTAAATGGTTCCTTCTACTTTGGGTTTTTATTGCTTAAGGAATCTTTCTTCATCTTTCATTCCATTCGCTGCGGCTTTGTCCTCGGGTGGCTTTTGTATGTACCTACATACATTTCTTCCACTATTCATTCTATAAGCATAGTGAATTCACATAAAGGCGTTTGAAAATTAGCCCCTTGCACAAGTTTATTTGTTAATAAGTTCATAATGGCCACTTTCATGAAAGAACAAAGTCTGGAAACCTATTCTGTGTGAGTCTACCATTATAAGTGGTAGTCAGGTTATTTCTTTAATTTCTTTCTTTGCCATTTTTTTCCCTCCCTCTTCTTTTGCTTTGGTTTGTTTATTTTTGCCTCTTTTCAAAGGTTTGCCTTTCGAAGAGCATTTATTAATATTTCGTTTATTGTGCCTTTGAATCAAGATGTAAATATGCCAGGTTTTCCATAAAAACTAGAGAAGAAAGCATTCAGTGATGGCTCAAGGACTTGGATATTTAACACAAGACTACAAAGTCTACAGCTCAGTGAAGAGTCAAGTTTAACTTAAAGAAAGAGTTTTGATTTTAAGTCATATATGGCACTGGTGACTATTCAATGATTAAAAAAAAACATCTATGATGATAAAAAATGCATAAATAATTCATATTAATATTTTCTCAGAATATATATATATATATATATATATATATATATATATATATATATATATATATATATATATTTACTTATAATAAAATTTCTTAATTGTAAACAAACACTATGCAAACCAAACTTGTTTACGTGTTATAAATGGAGAAGATAAAAAATATCCTTTGGAGAGATATGAAAATATTGATGCTAAGAGAAAGTTATCTTTGTTGTCAAATAATCTGAGCTCAAAAGACATTAATAGTGATAAAATAGTTACAAATACATAGGAGATTGCAAATGCAAATATAATACTTGATTTATAGTTATTTTAAATTCCTGTTAAATGAAAAAAACTAGATTGATTTTAAAAATTCATTTTTACATATCTCAAGCTGACTAAGTTAGGCAATGATAGACATTTGGTGAATTCTAGTAAATTTACTAGAATTCAGCAAATGTCTATTATTACCTAACTTAGAGTCAGCTTGAGATATGTCAACTGAATTTTTTGTGGTTATAAATAGGACCCTATAGCATGGTTTTAGTGTAAGTTTTAGTTTTACTATATTTAATATATTAGTTTAAACTTTATTTTTTTTTATCATTTTACCCCAAACAAGGTGATAATGCCATTAAGTTGTAGGGGAATGAAAGAGAATGAGAAGACTTTAGTGAAGAGGAGTGAGGAAAGGACAATAAAGTGACAGGATTCAAGATGATAGATGATGGTGATTGACATTACATTTAAATTTTTTAAGATTGTAAGTGACAGGGAAGCAAGATATCAGAAGGGAGTTCCACATGTGAGAAGTACAAGAAAAAATGTTAGAATAGCAGGTGCATTTAGTTAGTTCAACAGTAAAGAAGAGAGACCTACTTGCCAATCCAGTAACATGGTTAAATTCATGTAGGCGAGGAACCAAGGAAAAAAGCTCATGAGAACAGTTACCATGAAAATATTTGTAGAAACTCCAAAATTTATTAAGCTGTTAGTGAGGGGTTATTTTACAATGTAAACTATACCCTTATTTAGTACCAGTTAAGTAAGCTATGCCAAATCCTTATCTTTTTGTTTAACTGTTTCCTAAACAGAAAAAAATAATCTACATTTTTAAAAAATGTTAGGAACTTGAAACCTTTTGTAAAATCCTCCCTAAGCATTTAAATTAAATATGATCCAAGAGTTTATGACAGTAGTGATTTTCAAATAATATTCAATCAGTTATTATTATTATTATTATTATTATTGAACCTGCAGGCACCCTGTGGAATATTGGGCCATAACCAAAATATGCTAGGTAGTGCTGCTGTTTCTGGGGCAAGTAGTTTTTACAAGGTACAATTTCTAACTCTATTATCAATTAGTTTAGAATTCAGAGTTGTCCTTCTACTAGACTAGTTGCCAAACAAGGCTAGAGTGCCCAGTCTTTCCTGCTAGTAACCATAGAATATTTAACCTTTAGATTCAATAACGACAGTCAATTTTCGATTCAGTGCTCTATGTGAAATACATGATAATAAGAAATCAAACAAGATTAGGGAATCATCAATTGGCAACAATAGCATAGTCACTTATTTAATGAAAATACCAAACAACTATATTGCTAACAAATTTTATTATCAAACAGATACAAAATAAACAGAAAAATTAAAGATGCAAAGAATTAAGCAACAAGACAAAAATTCATGAAATATTAAGAGCTGACAATATAGGTATGATTTTGGTATATGAAAGTATTGTTAATGACAGTGGACAAGTGGTACTGACTCATCTATGGAGAACAAGAATTTATTGACATCATAACTGGTGACAAGACAGCCTAATGATATAAAAGAATAATTTAATAAAAAAATGAAACAAAGAACAACAAATTTCAAAGAAGAAATCAATGTGATAAAAAATAACTAAAAAAAAATAAAGAAAATATTAACAAAAACAAATATAGATATAAATTCAGTGATAGCTTCTACATTTATGGTAATATTTTGTGAGAGGCTGCAAATAGCTTAAAAATAGCATCAATAGAGGAAGTGATGAGATCTTGTTGATCAGCACTGATAGAAAAAATATTTTTAAATAAACTGTATGAAAAATAAGTTGTATGTTAGCCATTCTGGAGAGAACAAATTTTTTGGGTAAAGAAAACATTTAGAAGAAAAAATGTGTATATTATCAATTATCAGTGGGCTTGTAAGAATTCATATTTTCCATTCTTGTTTCCACAAATTGAAAATTTTAGAACTAAAGAGAAAGTTAAGGGAAAAGTTATAATAAAATAATAAAGACAATAAAAAAAAAATTATGAAAAAGACTGAAAAGAAAAAAAAGGACAGTGAGGAGATGGAAGGAAGAGAGAAGTAGTAAAGAGAAAAATAGAGAAGAAAAGAAGAGAGATGAATAGAGAAGGAAAGGAGAGAAGAGAAGAGAAGGAGAGAAGAGAAGAGAAGGAGAGAAGAGAAGGAAAGGAGAGAAGAGAAGGAAAGGAGAGAAGAGAAGGAAAGGAGAGAAGAGAAGGAAAGGAGAGAAGAGAAGGAAAGGAGAGAAGAGAAAGGAAAAGAAGGAAAGGAGAGAAGAGAAGGAAAGGAGAGAAGAGAAGGAAAGGAGAGAAGAGAAGGAAAGGAGAGAAGAGAAGGAAAGGAGAGAAGAGAAGGAAAGGAGAGAAGAGAAGGAAAGGAGAGAAGAGAAGAGAAGAGAAGGAAAGGAGAAGAAGGAAAGGAGAAGAAGGAAGAAAAAAGATGAGAAAAGAGAAAATAGAAGAAAAGAGGAAGAAAGTAAAAAGAAGTAGGGAAGAAATAAGAAATAAAGAGGCAAAGAAGAAGAAAAAAGAAAGTAAGAAAAAAGAAAAAGAAGAGAGATGAATAGAGAAGGAAAGGAAAGAAGGAGAAGAAAGGAGAAGGAAGAAAAAAGAGGAGAAAGGAGAAAATAGAAAAAAAGAACAAGAAAGTAAAAAGAAGTAGGGAAGAAATAAAGAGGCAAAGAAGAAGAAAGAAAGAAAAAAGAAGAAAAAAGAAAGAAAGAAAAAAGAAAAGAATTAATGAGAATTCTTTCTTCCAACATAAACATACCACCCAAAGAAATGGGTCTAGTGTGATTTGAGTAATATGTCATCATTGTTAATGGCCAGCTTGGCTTCAGTATGCCCTGTGATTGTCAAATTTTCCAAAGCCTCTTTCCTCATTATATGCCAACTGTCTCTTTTTGATTTGAAGTACGTGACCTTATTTCTGGAGGACAGCTAGCCAATACCTGTTACAGATGACTGTTCAGGCACATTTGTGTTTGTTTAACACCCCAGAGCTCACTTGTAGTTTATACTGAAACTACACAGAGTAGACCTTGGTTACAGAGAGAGAGAGAAAAAAAATGCATCTTCTGGTATTAACAACAGTTTGAACAAGGCCAGCACACTCAAAGCCTCAGTCATGATGACTTGTGACTTTGTGCAATTCTGTCAAGTCAATTTCATTTACAAGGTTTGTGCTAACTTGTAATATAGTTCTTGGGCACTTTCTAAAGGTGCTAAATGGTGGGACACATCGAGGTGACCTTACTGAAAAATTGACCATGCTGAGATTTGAACCCAGTTCTCATGGTTGGAAAGTAAATGTTCTAACTACTTTACCATGTGTGATTTCAATAAATATCAAAAGAAATAAAATTTAAAATATGCATTGAGAGAGATATAGAGTCTTATTAAAACACAGGAGAATGAGAGGGAGATGAGAAAAGGTAAAATTTTGATATCAATATATACAAAGAGGCTTGAAGCAACAGAAGTGTGGTTCTACAGAAGGATGCTGAGAATACCATGAACCAAACATGTGAGCAATGACAAAGTTTTAGAAAAAAAATGACACTTATACTTAACATCAGAAAGAGGAAGTTGAAATTTCTAGGGTGCATAATGAGGAAAGAGGGCTTGGAAAATTTGATACTCACAGGACAGATTGAAGGCAAGAGGGACAGAGGAAAACAATGCATAACCTACCTAGTGAACTTGAGTAAATGAATAGTGGAACAGGATTTAAGAGAGATTACAAAGACAAAATTTCTTAAACACTATAAATGACTGGAAATTGTGGAGTCATGATCAGTAACATCCTAAAAGCAAGTAATACATAGAAGATCAAGAAGTATATCATTGTCTAAGCAGATAAAATGTTCATATCTCTTTGAAATAAAAAAAAGTTTGGTTAATGAATTGTAAAAAGCTAATGAAGGAGGTTTGTAGTGATGAAGAATAAAAAGAAAACAGCTTTTAAAATACTAACATAGCCTATTAGTTTTGATGTCACATTAAAACACACACATGACTCAAGATCACCTATAAAATAAAAATATGTCAACAAAAGGATACAATGGCATCACTTTTACAGGGGAAAAATAGTTTTAGAGAAAATGGAAACAAAATGGACGCTTATATTTAACATCAGGAAGAGATAGTCGAACTTTCTAGGGCATATAATGAGGAAAGAGAGCTTAGAAAGTTTGATACTTACAGGGCACATTGAAGGCAAAAAGGACAGAGGAAAATTACAACCTACCTAGCAAGCTTGAATAGATTGATACCGGAGCAAGATTTAGGAGAGATAACAAAAAGATAACATTTATTAAGAGCTACAAAGGACAGGAAATTGTGGAGAGACATGATCGCCGATGTCTTGAAGGGGCACAAAACATAGAAGATAAGGAGAAGAATATTGAAAAAAAATGCTTGAGAGTAAGCTAGAAAAAGAGGAAGTGGAGTAATGGATAGCAGCTCGGATTGAGGAATTGGAGAGCCGAGTTCAAATTCCAGTTGAATCCATTACATTCACTTACATCCTAATACTCTTGGGAAAGGTATGAATCCTCTTCTTCTCCTCCCCCAGTTATGGGTAAATATCAGGACAGACTATAGCCTTGGATGGCAACTGGTCTACCACAGAAAGAAATGGCAACCTACTGTGGGGAAAAATCTGCTTCGTCAGTCATGTATCAAAAGATACATGATCGTCTAAGTGTGTATCACGCATGGCACATAACTGACTGAATTGTAAGAGTCAGAGATATAGGATTTGAGAATCACTGGAATATATATATATATATATATATATATATATATAAATTAATTGATTTAAAATATGATTTTTCCGCGAGTAACCATGTTTCAAAATGTTTCATCCTAAATCTCAAAATTCGCTTGAGGATGAAATGAACTAATGCTTTTAATTTAATTGCAAAATTAAATTCGGGGCTTTTAGCTTCTATTTTGAAACATGGTTAGAACTGTAGAGGAAAAACCATATTTTAAATCAATTAATTTATAATATTATGCTCTGTAAATTTACATTGAGCACTATTTTGTAAAAATAAAAATATCTATAAGGACACCGGATTATATATCTTACTGTTCTTTCTTTATATATATATATATATATATATATATATATATATATATATATATGTGTGTATGTATGTGTGCGTGTGTGTGTTCAGTCTATACAAAAAGCACTAAATAATTTTACTCTCTAAAGAAAGATGAATGGAATGCAGCACAAAAGGTATTTCACTATGTTGTCTATTGTTCTGTTATTGTTCCTGTCCAGTTAGTGGTTGAGTCCAGAAAGAAAAGAAGCTAGAAAAGCTTTCTGTGGTCAGGGACAATAGTTCATTAATGAGAATTCCTTCTTTCAGCATAAACCTACCATCCAAAGAAACGGGTCTTGTTTGATTTGAGTAATATGTCATCATTGTCATCGGCCAGCTTCCTCTGTGTGTGTGTGTGTGTTGCGTCTGTTATAGTCTTTTGTCAGTGGTCAGTTGTAATGCATTTATCAAATATTTTCAGGTTGATGAAGAGGTGGTAGAAAAGGAAAGAAGGTGGAAGAAGTAAGAAATGTCCATTCCAGCACAGAGAGAGAATTGAAAGAAAATAAGAAAAAGATGTGAAGAAATAAAGTAAAATGAAGAGGTGGAGATCTTACAGAGGAAGAAAATAGGGTTATGGAAAAATTAACAAAGGTTGTTTTTTTTAATAAAAGAAAAATTCAAGTAAAAAAAAAAAAAAAAAAAAAGAGTAAAACTGATGTGGAAATAAACTAACTTTAAAAAAAAAAAATTAATTAAATAACAAAGATGGAAAAACAAATAAAAAAAAGAAAAATAAACAAAAAGAAAAGGTTTTAAAAAGAAAGGAAAAAAGAAAAAGGAATGAAATAAAAATATATCAAATTAAAGAAAATAATTTAAGAGAGAAATAAAGAAGGAAAAGTAAAAAGAAAACGATAGACAAAGAGAGAGAAGAAAGTAAAAAAGAAAGAGAGAGAGAGAAGAAAGTAAAAAAGAAAGAGAGAGAGAGAAGAAAGTAAAAAAGAAAGAGAGAGAGAGAAGAAAGTAAAAAAGAAAGAGAGAGAGAGAAGAAAGTAAAAAAGAAAGAGAGAAGAAAGTAAAAAAGAAAGAGAGAGAGAAGAAAGAAAAAAAAAAGAAAGAGAGAGAAAGTAAAAAAAGAAAGAGAGAGAGAAAAGAAAGTAAAAAAGAAAGAGAGAAGAAAGTAAAAAAGAAAGAGAGAAGAAAGTAAAAAAGAAAGAGAGAAGAAAGTAAAAAAGAAAGAGAGAAGAAAGTAAAAAAGAAAGAGAAAGGAAAGTAAAAGAAAGAAAGAGAAAGGAAAGTAAAAGAAAGAAAGAGAACGGAAAGTAAAAGAAAGAAAGAGAACGGAAAGTAAAAGAAAGAAAGAGAAAGGAAAGTAAAAGAAAGAAAGAGAAAGGAAAGTAAAAGAAAGAAAGAGAAAGGAAAGTAAAAGAAAGAAAGAGAAAGGAAAGTAAAAGAAAGAAAGAGAAAGGAAAGTAAAAGAAAGAAAGAGAAAGGAAAGTAAAAGAAAGAGAATGGAAAGTAAAAGAAAGAAAGAGAATGGAAAGTAAAAGAAAGAAAGAAAGAAAAGAAAAAGAAAAGAAAGAAAGAAAGAAAGGAAAGTAAAAGAAAGAAAGAGAAAGGAAAAGTAAAAGAAAGAAAGAGAAAGGAAAGTAAAAGAAAGAGAAAAGGAAAGTAAAAGAAAGAAAGAGAATGGAAAAGGAAAGTAAAAGAAAGAAAGAGAAAGGAAAGTAAAAAAGAAAGAAAGAGAAAGGAAAAGTAAAAGAAAGAAAAGAGAAAGGAAAAAAAGAAAGAAAAGAGAAAGGAAAGTAAAAGAAAGAAAGAGAAAGGAAAGTAAAAGAAAGAAAGAGAAAGGAAAGTAAAAGAAAGAGAATGGAAAGTAAAAGAAAGAAAGAGAATGGAAAGTAAAAGAAAGAAAGAGAATGGAAAGTAAAAGAAAGAAAGAGAATGGAAAGTAAAAGAAAGAAAGAGAATGGAAAGTAAAAGAAAGAAAGAGAATGGAAAGTAAAAGAAAGAAAGAGAATGGAAAGTAAAAGAAAGAAAGAGAATGTAAAGTAAAAGAAAGAGAAAGGAAAGTAAAAGAAAGAAAGAGAGAGGAAAGTAAAAGAAAAAGGGAGAAGAAAGTAAAAAGAAATAGAAAGGAATGAAAGTGAGAAGAAAGTAAAAAAGCGAGTGGAAAGTAAAAAAGAAGGATGAAGAGAAAGAGAGGGAAGTAAAAAGAAAGGGAAAAGGAAAGAGAGAAAGAGAAAAGGAAAGAGAGAAAGAGAAAAGAAAGAATTGAAAGTCAAATAAGAGAATAAGGAAATAGAAAACTAAGGAAAAAACTTAAAAGATGAGACGATGACAGAAAAGAAATAAAACACAGGCGTGGCGTCAGAAGATAAAGAAACGATATCAATTAAATAAGCGAAAGATAGAAAAAACGTATAACAAAAAAGTTTTTAAGAAAATAAAACGAAAAGATTACGAAAATACAGAGGAGATAAAGAGAAACAATTGTGACAGATTTAGATTGACAAACGAAAAAGTGGAGATCGGTAGTTTACAGATGCCCAGCTTTCACGACGTCTACCTGTCTTCTCAGGATTGTTGTAACGGGAAGCGTACTGAGAAGATTACCTGGTAGTGGGCAAGGAGTGTATTGCGCGTCTTTTAGCTTTATCTTGTGACGAGAGAGCAGCGGGGGGTGACCCATCAAATGAGATGACATTATTCTTGAAGTGCCAAACAAAAGATGCCACGACTCCATTGTTGCGGAAGAATCTGCAATCCACTCTTGCCTTTTACTCCACCAACATTCCCATCGACCAACCTCAGATTTCCATTAAAGAAAATACCAGAATAAAAACAAACGGGTCAACAATACGGAGCAATAAAAAAAAAACTACAATGGCAATCAATGACAGACTGCGACAGACGTAACTGACTAGATGTCCGTCTATCCGTCACACAACAATGATAAAACCCTCGTGCGAAAGCTTTCGTAATGTACACGTATATTTCAATGTACACAATGCATACGTGAATGTGTATATTTTGGTATTTACTGAGTTTAGTCTGGTGCGAAGCATCAAGTAATGATCGAACTCAATATATAAAAGTAACTATATATATATATAGTTACTTTAATATATTTATATAAAAGTAACTATATATATATATATATATATATATATATAGTTACTTTAATATATTGAGTTCGATCAAGTAATAGATTTTTCTTTAATAAGATTTCTCGAATATTCGGGCTTATTAAAGAAAAATCTATTACTTCTTCTTTAGAAAATGGTTTTGTTTACGTTTGGTTATGCAACTGAGCAGATATGAAAAAATTAAAGAATCTATAACGAGAAGAATTTCGCTTAAAGGTACTATTCAGCCTTGTCTGATAGGCTAAGTTCTTTTTTAGCTAAATCGGTCCAGAACATGTCGGATATAACGACAGTTCCCATTGCCCAGGGGTACACCGGTTCGAGTTCTGCCGGAGAATGTATATTTTTCGTTAATAGGATTTCTCGAATATTCAGACCGGTAGACAAAAATAAATAAATATATTGTTTAATAGCATTTAAAATAGTTTAAAGTTAATTTGTCGGATATATAAATAAAATTTATTACTTCTTAAGAATATTTATTACAGTAATGTTCATCCTTTACAGAGTAAGAAGCAAAGCTTATATAGCCATGTGAGGAAGATAACGGTTAATCCTAGACTCGAACAGGTTAAGATTGTAGTGATTGTGGAAGCAACCTCTTGGGAGTCGGTTCCACAAGGCAGCGTTTCGTATGAAGAAGCTGCTCGAATGGAACTTACATGTCACAAAGGGAATACGAAGGGAATGCCAATGGTTCGATCCAATGTGTGTGGCATTGCGGGTCCAAGCCATGAAGCTTAGGACTGGTGGAACTATGGAGTGTAGTTCATCTGGACACTTTCCATGGAAACAGCGATAGAACAACGAGAGGCTACGTAGTCTCGTCTGAGAGAAAGAGGTTGTAGTGTAAAAATAATTCATCTACAAGAACGCAGAGACGCTTTTGAACTCCAACTGGACTGGAAAGTGAAGACTGGGCAGCTCCTATATTTTCGGCATGAACTGGATCAGAGGTAGAGGATAGCAGGAGGAGACAGGCACTTGCTGGAACGGTACAGGAAACCGACTATCGTCGTCGTCATCCTTCCGTCTCGAGAGACGATGGAGTAGCGCAGTGCGCTACGAGCCTGAACGGGATATATGGCGAACTAGGGCTGCCCGGACGTCTAGCAGAGTCCAAGGGAGAGAATAAACCAATACAGTTTGGTACCAGCGCGGCTGCAGGAGTTGCCGGAAGGTAGCACAAAGTGCCGTCCATCCGCCTTAGAGGCTCCACTCCGGGTTTGAATTCAGAGTTGATCTTCTCCTAGACCAGTTGCCATCCAAGGCTATAGAACCCAGTATGTCCTGCTATTTGCCCATAGCTGGAAGGAGAAGAGGAGGATTAACACCTTTCCCAAGGGAATTAGCACGTAAGTGAATGTAATGGATGCGACTGGAATTCGAACTCGGCTCTCCGATTCCTCAATCCAAGCCGCTATCCATTACTCCACCGTACCTCCTCAAACAGACTATATCTTCTTATGTGCCGCGTCCTCTCAGGACGTAAACGATCATGGCTCTGTACAACTTCCTAACTCTTGTAGCTCTTAACAAACTTTATATTTCTGCAATTGTCCAAAGCTGTTTCACCTTCCATTTACTCAAGCTCACTAAGTATCTGTCTATATTTCTCACTAAGTATGTTATGCGTTGTTTTCCTATGTTCCTCTTGACCTGCATCTGTCCCGTGAGTATGAGATGTTCCAAGCCCCCCTTCCTCATTATGTATCCCCAGAAACCTCAACTGTATCTTCCTAATGTTATGTATTAGTTTCCTTTTTGCTTCCATTTTCTCCAAAATGTGTGTGTGCTCGCGAGCAGGGGAACGTTTGGTTTGTTTTACGGCCTATCAACCCACTGGGTCATTTAATGGTGAAATTTAATGTTTTTTTTTTAAATAAAGTCTCGCGGAGACGTAGAAATACATGGGTAGGTACCCAGTCGCGATATCAGCATACTGCGAGTGAGACACCCACGAGTCTTCGTTCAGGCATTTCTCTTGGAGAAGGGAAACTGATATAAAACCTGCGACTTCGTTTGCATCCAATGATGTATACCAGTTATTTTTCGACAAATAGATTCGAAAATCAGAGAGTGGGATTGGCTCTGTACAAAGTCTCTCCTCACTTAAAAAGCCTAAAGCACAGTATCGTTTGAGGTTTTTTTTTGTTTTTTTTTTAAACATTTGAAGAATCACATACAGAGATCAAGTCATTAAATACACGTTATACGGCATTTAAAGAATCTGCCTCAGTTTGTGGACTAAAAATGCTCCATGAAAGTTCAACAAAATACTGCTGCAACACCCACTGTAAGTCGTGTCTAACGTTGCTACAGCTCTGCTAAACAACAAAAAAAAAAAAAAAAAAACACATCTGCATATCTGAAGGTAAATCAAGCGATGGCATTATTCGAAATCAAGTCTCACCGATATATATATATATATATATATATATATATATATATAATAGCTGGCCACTCGTATTCCAGGATACCCGTCTACTAGGGCGGCTAGTCAATCCCTTTTGCAGACGCTCGCTCAGGCACATTTGTTTACTCACAGAGCCCATCCGTGGTTTATACTACAACTATGTGGAACAGACCTTAGTTACGGTTTCTGGGAGAGAGCCTGTTATCTAGCGTGATCAACAATTTGAACAAGGTCAGCACGCTCAAGTCCTCGGTCACGATGAGTTGTGGCTTCGTGCTAGCACAGCAGTCGACGACTCCCAAGAGTTTCGTCTACCCAATTTCACTCAGAAGGCTTGGGCCAACTAGTGGTATGGTTTTCAGGCACTTTCCAAAGGTGCCACACGCTGAGACCTCAATCCAGTACAATAATATCAGGAAGTCGCCTTCCTGATAAATCGACCATGGTGAGATCCGAATCCGGGTCTCATGGTCAGAAAGTGAACGTTCTAACCACCCGGCCACGCGCCCATCTTTATATATATTGTACCAAAAGTACATTTACAAACTTTGGGGCGGGTTCTTCATACCAAAACAAGGACAAAAGGTTGGATAACTCGGCTGCTTTCGGTCTGAAAACGCAATCAGATACAGCCTTGCAGCCTCGCGTCCATTGCCATTCGCGCGGCCGTATATAAAAATCATATCTGCCTGCTCATGATATGAATATCCTGCCATTGTTAAACGGGACATTTCTCAGTTAACTCACTACTACACACGTTAAACGTTGAAGAGACAAACAACCAATTGGCAGTTTGTGCAATAAATCATCAGTAAAGTTCTCCCTTGGTGAGTGATAAGAGAGTGAAGGACCCTGCACACATTGCAAATGATACGGATGCAGGAGCTGCTCCATGTGGTATTATTAGATGTACAACATGCAAGGGCTACTTGATGTGTGCTGATACTTGGATCGACAGCCTACAGAATGTGCTCTTTGTGATCATCTTGGTCTTCCTCGATCAATAGTTTGTGGTGCCATAGATTCTGTCTCAGCAATGCAATCATAAAGAACAGCAAATGTTGGATGATGCAGCTGTCTTCAGTCTGGAAATGCAATCTGATACAACTGTGCAGCCTTGTGTCCATTACCATTTGCATGGCCATATGTAAAAATCATATGAATATCCTACCATTGTTAAATGGGACAATTCTCAGTTAGCTCACTACTATACACGTTAAATGTTGAAGACAGACTAGCCACAAATATACACGAATGACAAATATAACCGAGTCTAAATGGCAACACAGGATCATCTACTGTAAACTTTCTTTAAACATAGGTTTATTCGAACTTTTGTCCTTGTTTTTGGTGTGAGGAACCCCCCACCACCACCAAGTTTGCAAATGTATTTTTGATACAACCTGTATATATTGGAGAGAGGAAGTGCGCATGTGTTTGTAGTAAATATATAAGGCCATTTTAAATATTTTTGACGTTCGCGATCCTGTGTCATTAGAAAAATAATTTTATTTTATGTATTCAGCGCTGTTTCAGCTTACGGTCATATCACGTTGAAACACCGATTCTCGTACGATAACAGAAGTTAAGCAAAGTCGACCCTAGTCAGTACCTAAATGGGTGACTGCTTGGGAATACCAGGTGCTGTCAACTTGGATATGAGAGTGGTGCAATGGATAACGTCTTGAAATTGGAATCTGAGAGCCGAGTTATAATTCCAGTAGGGTTCATTATATTCACTTACACGCAAATACCTTTGAAAAAGGGGTACGAATCCAACTTTCCCCTCAGCTATAGATTAATTAGTAGTATTTGTATCAGTAAATTATTATTATCTTCAAAAGATTTTTACAGTCTAAAAATAGTTTCCAGCTTTAAGCCGTAAAAAATAAATACATTAATTTTAAAAACCCATTTTGTTTCAAAGCTATTTTATATCAAATCACCGAAACAATGTAGAATACTTAAACCATAAAATAAATCAATCGATGTTAGTTATAATCCAGTTTATAAAACAGTAAAATGAAAAAGAAAAAAAAAAAGAAAGAAAAACAAGAAAAATGATGAAGCATTAAGTTGCTTAAGTTTACTTTTTCGTTCGTTCTCCCTTCAGTCCATTTTGACTTTTTAATTTGCAGTAATGAACAGCATGAACTTCAGGACGTAAGTGATCATGATCCTCCACATCTTCCTGCCTCTTGTAGTTCTTAATAATTTTTGTCTTTATTATTTCTCTTAAACCTTGTTTTACCATTCATTTGCGAAAGCTCATCAAGTACATTACGCGCAACTTTTCTCTGTCCCTCAATCTGTCCTGTGAATATCATTTTTTCCAAACCCTTCTTCCTCATTACGCGCAATAGAAATTTCAACTGCTTCTTCCTGATATAAAATATGTTTCCTTTTTTTTCCAACACCTCTTTGTTAATCAGATGTTCGAACCACGGTATTCTTAGCATACTTCTGTAAAACCACGTTTCTATTGCTTCAAGTCTCTTCTCCATCTTTGAGGAGATGGTCCCACATTCGCTGCCATATAGGAGGACAGATATCACTTAACAATTCAGTACTCATTTCTTTGTTTCCAACGAAATTTTTTTCTCTTAATACTCTACTTAGCTTTTGGAAAGCATCTTTGGACATCCGAATGCGTCTTCTTATCTCAGTGTCACACTTACCGTCCTCTGTAAGAACACTTCTCAGATATTTAAATTTCTGTACTTGTTTGATTTTAGTATCTCCGATTTCTAATTTGCTTTTTGGGCTCATCTTTTTGGCGATTGGTGACTAGGATGTCTTTACAAGTGGCTTTATATGAATAACCTTTTTCCTTGCTCATACTGGTTTTGGTTTTGTGAAATAAAATAATTTTTTTTTGATACCGGTTCATCAGCAAAACGTGTCAAAGTAATAATTAGCGTGTGAGGGTGGAAAAAAAGAAGAAGAAAAAGTGAGTTATTCACTTCGGATTTGCTATTTTTGCATGAAGAATGCAAATTAAAATATAATCTTTTCTTTCATTCTCTATGATTTTTTGTGTGAATTGTCTATGATGTTCATTAGGCCTTCTACCAAGACCTTCTTACATTCTATTGTTGGTTGGTATTTCCAGGAACATACATATCTCCTATCGAGAGATATAAGAACCATTACAATAATTATAGAAAGTGAATGTCTCATGCACTCACTACTCTTGTTTCCGCCTAGTATCGTGTCAGTAACAAGGCCATGGTGATGTGAACTAGCCACGTGACAGAGTGTAGGGAGAGATGAAACCATGACTTTTCCATTAGAGCGAATGTAATATCGTTCGGTATCCGCAGATAATTCGCCATCCTTATTATTGTAACCTAGGGAAGGTTAATGAATAGAATAATCACACTTAGGTTGGTAATGAACGATAATACTTAGGACACGAACAACACATATAAGATTCGCCAGCGGCGCGTAGTAGAATTAGTCAACTGCTAGAAGTGAGTCAAGTGAATTTTCATAATGAATTTTCAACTGCAGGATATCTAACAACCGCCCCACGCAATCAGATGTGCCACATGGCCGAATTTAATATGGAGTATCCGAGCTGGTAGGCTCGACCAAAAATTCCCCATAGAACCCGTATAAAATGGGTCGGGTAGCTGTTTCCAGACACAAGACTGTCGTTCGACATAGCCTTGTCTCTGGATTTTCTCTGTCCGGGGGCAGAGAGCTTGACCAGCAGAGCTGGAGACGAATCTCCAACTGCAGTATTTACTACTGTAAATATGTGAATGGGGACATACTCATTATCATGTGTAGGTATGCTACAACATATTAAACGAACATCCTCCTGTATACTTGAAATTGTTTCAAAAGTTACTAATAAAATTGTTATACCGGAACATACCTATTCTATTGTTAATAGACTCTCCCACATATAATAAGTAGTAGTAGTAGCAGCAGTCGCCAGGGAGCTGAGGGAGTTGGAGAGTCAGTCGATGTCGGACATTAAAGTATCAACCACCACAACTAGATTGCTGCGTCATTAACTATTATTTCAAGTTCCTAACGTTTTGTACGTCGAACCTTTTTTAGGACCGACTTAGTGAAATACAGGCCTCCACTGTGAAACTACAACAAAATTAATTTGTAAATTAGTGTTATACTGTAAATATGAACAACATATTTTGCGGGGAATCAACACACGAGAAAAAAATTTCCAAACTAATATAAAAATTAATTTTATACCTGGAATGTATCAATGGTAACAAAGACAATTAGAGAAATTTCTGATATAAAAATTTTGTCCACTTTATAAGCTGTGATAGTGTGAAAAGTTGCTTACTGATGAACCAAAAAATGATTGAGGCGAAAAACACCTTGATTTTCAAATTAATTATTGGATTTTAATAAAATTTTAGTTACTTATTTAATAAAAAAAAATGATTTACAAAAATGTTTTCATTGTAAATTTGTAAGAAAGACATTAAGTGGTCTAAACATAAATAGCAAACGAACAAGATGCAGGGAGAACAATTTACAAACAATGAGAGTTGGAAAAAGATTGAAGAACTGCGAAATAGTGGGAAGCTACAGAAGGTTTTATGCCCACGTATTACTTCACTTGCATGGGTGCAGTATAGTGTTTGGTGAGGGAACATTCTAGTTTTGCCTTTTGAGAATTTTCTAGATTTTCGAGCTGTGGTTGGGATGGCCAAAGACGCATTCCAAAATCTAGGTAGAGTAGAAGAAGAGTTGCATTGGCAACAACCAATAGAGTATTGAACTGCTACGTGATATCTCTCCTCCTTTACGGCAGCGAATGTTGGACGGTCTCCTCAAAGATGAAGAAACTGGAGGCAACAAAGGTATGGTTCTACAGAAAGATGCTAAGATAGCATGGACCGAACACGTGAGCAACGATGAGGTCTTGAAGAGGATGCAAACAGAGGGAAAACTTATTCATCAATTCACTCCATGGAAATTCAAAACCTCACTTTAACTCCGATTCGAAATTCCGGTTCAAAGATCGATTTGGGCTGACATTCCAATTCAGGCCGAAAATTGAGTTCTTCAAATCACAAACGCTGCGGAAGTTCAAAACCTTACGTCATGAAACCTCTCATTTTACCTCTGATTCCTTGCTATTTTGAAGAAATAAAATTGATTTCTTCAAATCACAAAATTTCGGAGATATTTTAAACTGAATTTAAAAAAAAATTAAATTCAAAGTTTTTGTGTTATTCTAAACTCAACATTAATTAAAAACTTTTAAAATCACTTTTTTTCAATTATTTAAAAAATAGAATTTTTAACTGTTCCCTTCTAATCCGGAGACAAATCCTAATTCTTGATTTTCAAGCACTAGATTGAGGACAGATTTTCAATCCTGGGATCATCCTAATATGTCTATGTTGAGCAAGTGTAGCCCGAGTTAGAGTTTTCAGACATACAGATGGACAAATAGAATCTGCCGTTTATTTATTTCGAAGATAGATAATGCAAAATACTTTTGAATGGAAATTCCACACTTTTACTCTATATGTCATATGAAAGTGCCATATTTTATTGTGGAAAGAAATTAAAAATTGAATTTTGCGTATCAGAGGTATTGATTTTCAAAGGAAAATGTCTATTAAAATAGATATACAATCGTTAAGTTTTCCTAAAGTGCTATATGACATAGTTGAAATAGATAATAAGTCAAACTTATTAAATAAAAATATTTTTAATTTTGTACGGAATATTTTTTATAAGTTAAGCAATGCATACATTGCTTTGTCAGAATACAAGGTACTGAAGGTGAGAGAAAGAATGTGCAATTTTTGGTAGCAGATATAAATGCTACTGAGACTAAGATTTATCTTCAGGGGGATCTAAAATATGACAAGTTGGCAGAGTAACTACACGTGTGTGTGTGTGTGTGTGTGTGTATATATATATAAATGGAGACAGGGTGGAGTAATGAATTCAGGAATCGGGGTGCAGAGTTCGAATTCCAGTGAAGTTCATTATAACCTTGGATTGTAACCTAAGAAAAGGAAAAACTCAATTCAAGCCCTACAACTATGTGTAAATAGAAGGATCGTCTGGGCTCTGTAGCAATGGTTGGCAACCAGCCTAGGAAAAGGACATCATTGAATTCAAATCTGGAGCCGAAGTTTATAAGACAGTCAGTTGTCATGTTCAATTTTGTTCTGGCAAACCCTGCGACGACACCGGTGCCAAGCCGTATTGACCTCTGACTTTCCCTTGGACAACATTGGTTGTGTGAAGAGGAGAGATGTGCTGCATGAGCAACTGCCAATCTCTTAAAAAAAAAAAAAAAAAAAAAGCCCAGTCCTGCGCCCCGTAGAGGGCGTAACTCTTCGGGCGCATATCCATGGTCTCTCGAAACCGCGGATCCCATACCATAGACATTAGTAAATCAGTACGTATGTTATTTAATGATGAAAAACTATTTGTATACGCAAATATTTATTTTTACATATAATAATTTGCTTTGTCAAGGCACTTAAGCCAATGCTTCTGCATTAAATACATAGAACGTTACAGTGAAAAATTTAATCAAAACTTATTTAATCATTGTGTCAGACCGACTGATTCACCCTCAAATATGAGTTGGTAATCGGAATTGTTATTGCTACCAAAATCGTACCTCCTGAATACTTAAC